CAGGACCCTGACCTACCCCTCCAGACCTCCAGGACCCTGACCTACCTCCCCAGACCTCCAGGACCCTGACCTACCCCCACCAGACCTCCAGGACCCTGACCTACCCCCCACCCTCCAAGGCAGAGGCAGCGTCATATTGGTTCTTATGTGCGTGGCTCGCAGGATCATGCCAGCTGGGCACTCAGCACGGGTTGCTAATCTGAATCCTGAACAACACAAATGCTACACACTAGCTCTATTAGCGCCATTCTAAAGATGGAGACACCAGAAACTTCTGCAGAATGGTGGCTTAGCTACTGCAAAGGGAACTTCTTTTCTGCAACAAAATTTCATGTGATCAAATGGTCAACCGTTCTTTTTCTTTTTAAAGATTTTAAAGTTATCTCTACAACCAATGTGGGGCTCGAACCCCCAACCCTGAGATCAAGAACTGTGTGTTCCACCAACTGAGCAGTCAGGTGCTCCACGATGGTCGACCAGACTAAGAACAAACAGTCACTTCTAAACCTATGAAATAAGCTTTGAAAATCCTACATATTCCCATAAACAATGTAAAACAAACCTGGCTAAACATGAAATAACTGGGATTTTTTCTTAAGCTCGTTCCCACTTCCTGCCGACATGAGCGTGGCACGCGGCCGACGCCACTGGGTAGCTGAGCCACTCACTCCCTGTGGTTACCTGTAAGACAGCCTCTATGATGGTCACTGTCTTCCCGGTTCCAGGAGGTCCGAAGAGAATATACGGGAGCGGGCGGCAGTCGCCACTCAGGATTCTTCTAACCGCTAACTTCTGGTTTTCGTTGAGCAAGGGATTGAAAAATTCCTTCTCTCCCACCTTGGGGATCTGAACTTCGTTTACTGTATTCAAAGTGAGAACCGGCGTCAGGCAGAGGTCACCTTGGCACGGCAGGAACACAGGTCAGCACGGGCCACCAGGACGGCCACGACCCAGCCGGTCAGGAGCCCGCTGCTGAGCTACACTTCCCAATAACCTCCACTTCATTGGGCAGGGTCGGGGAAGTTAACTTCGCTCTCTGAGAGCAAAAATGCAGGTCATTGAGTTTACTGTTCCCCCTCATAGGTGGAGCATCACCTAACCTAGACGGCAGAGACGGGGTCTGGAAAAGGCCAACAGAAATAGCCTGTGGTCACGTTAAAGCACCGAGCATGAAACCTCACGTCTCCACTCCGTCTCCAGTCGGGACAAGAGTATCCATCTCTCTGGCTGCAACCACACCACACACACGTCCCGACCTGTCTCCCTTGGGCAGAAGGGAGCTTCTCAAGGGGCCTATTTTCCAGGCAAGGGTTCCCGAGGTTGCCCTGGCAGCCCCTCACCATACGCACCCAGATTAGTTGACTTTTCAGCAAAGGTCGCCGGCCCCGGCGTGTCCCGGGCACCAGCCCGTCTCTCCTTGGCTGCATGCTTAGTGTGGTCCTTCATGGCTTTCCTATTCTAGAAATAGTCATGCAGAAAAATGGCCTTAAAAAAAGCTTTGAATTTACACAGGTTTAAAGAGTGAACATAAACACCTGCCAATGTTCTACGTGTTTTATTTAATAGCTCTTTGAATGCACTGCAGGTCATATGTTTCAAAACACAGTAAAAATACAGAATATCTGACAAAAAAGTTGCTAAAAAGGTTTGTTTCTTTTTTGAATTCCCTTACAAAAATAAACACGAATGAACTAAATTCTGTGTAGTGATGTCAGATCAAAGGGTGACATTTATCTGACGAGGTATCTTTTCTCTTCCTGCATCCTTCTCCTGCTCACCGACAAAGGGAAACCTGCAGTGGCTGAAGGCAAATCCTGGTCCCTTGCTCCCCTGGAGCCCCTCAGGCAAACCCCTTCCTCTGCAGCGGGAGCGAGCCCAGCCAGCTCTGGGGGGACCGTCACGTGCCTCAGGTGCTGCCACGGGCTGGCAGAGCTTCCTGGTCAACTGCGCTCCGCATCCTGCCCAAGAACCGGTTCTGTGGGTGTTTAAACAAACTGAATCTGTCCTGGACCGAGGAAACTGGTTTCCAAGTTTCCCCTATTACATACAATGCTGTAATAAACAGCTTTGCACATTTATCTCTGTGCAAATCACAGGATTACTTTTTTTTTTTTTTAAGATCTACTTGGCTTTATTCAACAATTCATCAATCTAACACGATTACTTCCACAGGACAAATTCTAGAAGTAAAATTGTTACTAAAAGTTTCACATTAAAAATGGTATACGTATTACCAAAACTTAGTCCAGAAGGTCACAGCAATTTCCCTTCCTGCGATCAGGAGTGTTCAAGAGTATCACTGACACACAATAACGTGTGCACAACTCGACAAGTTGTGACACATGGACACATGGGACGAGCTGAACACCTGCGGAGCCCACAGGATGCCTCCCTGTAATGCACCCCCGCTGCCAAGAGCATGGTTACATTTTCTAGAATGCTTCATACGTGGAAGTCTAGGTTATGCACTTTTTGTCTGACATCTTTCCACCGTGTAAGCAACTGCTGTGAGGCCCACCTTCGCTGCCCCGTGCCATCGACAGCTCACCGCTGTCACCGCTGAGTATGGTTCCACCGGAGCAGCACACTGCCCTCCCTCCCTCCACCCCCAGGTGGACGGCCACTGGGCTGTGTCCAGTGCCGGCCATTGCTGAGAGCGCAGCTGTGAACGTCTCCGCACCAGCCCTCATGTGGACGGACGTGGGCTTTCTCGTCTCTGGGGCCCACACCAGGAGGGAAGCGGCCGGACTGTATGGCCGGTGTGGGTCGAGCTTTCCTAAGGAATTCTTCTCAAAAGCACATGCTCATGACCCTTAGTCTGGTCAGTCCTCTTCATCTGATTTCGGTCACTCTGACACGTGTGTAGCGGCAGCTCACTGTGGTACTGTTTCCCTAATGACTAATGCCGGACGTCTTTTCAGGGACTGACTTACCGTCTGTACACACAGTCCCCGATGATGGTTTGTCTTACGGTGGTGCGAGAACGCTACGCGTTCTGCAGAAACCGTACTTGGAATTTTGAATTTGGATCTTTTCCCTGGGCTGGCAGTATGTGGTACCGTGCTCTTGTGATGCTGGGCAGCGGCCACAGTCCCCAGTCAGCCCGCGATCACGCGATCACCAGCCGATACCCTGACAGCCATGCTGTTTCTCTTTGAGGACGGTAGGCCGTACCTTACACGAGGTATTCGGCACTTGATCGTAAACAGGCTCTGCACTAGCTGATTTTTTTTTTTTTTTAAAGATTTTATTTATTCATTTGAGAGAGAATGAGAGAGAGAGAGCATGAGAGGGGGGAGGGTCAGAGGGAGAAGCAGACTCCCTACCGAGCAGGAAGCCTGATGCGGGACTCGATCCAGGGACTCCAGGATCATGACCTGAGCCGAAGGCAGTCGCCTAACCAACTGAGCCACCCAGGCACCCTGCACTAGCTGATTTTGCCCCACTGTTCTGAGCATGTTTGAGGTTAGCGGCGCTAAGTCGTGGTGACTGGTAGGTTAGGTGTATTAGATCCATTTTCAACTGATGGTATTTTCAACTTATGCCAGGTTCACCGTAAGCCAAGGAAGATCTGTATATTCTTCGGTAAAGTATATATAATTTACTTCTGTTTATGTCTTTGGTTCAGTGTTGAGTCTCATGCTCCAGCGATGAGCTGGCTTTTCATTGTCTTAACCATGTCTTTTGAACAGCAAAATATTTAATTTCATTGGAGTCCAGATTTATCAATTTTTTCTTTATAGATCACATTTTTGGCATCACATCTAAAAACTCTGCCTTACCTAAAGATATTAAGATTTTCTCTTGCGGTGCCTGAGTGGCTCAGTCGGTTAACTGTCCAACTCTTGGTTCAGCCCAAGTCATGATCTCAGGGTTGTAGGATTGAGCCCCGCACTGGGCTCTGTGCAGGGGCGTGGAGGCTGCATAAGGTTCTATCGCCCCCCACCCCGCTTGCACTCTCTCAAAAATGAAAGGGTTTTTTAATGTTTCCTAGAAATTTTAGTTTCAGGCTTTATATTTAGGGCTATGATGCATTTTGAATTAATCTCTGTGAAGGCAGTGAGGTACAGATCCAGGCACACACCCCTGGATACAGACACCGCATTGTCCTTGTGCCTTTCGCTAAGGACACTCTCCTTTCCCCACTCTGACTGCCTTTGCACCTTTGTAGAAAGTCAGTTGTCCAAACTCCCGTGGGTCTGTTTTAAGGCTATTTCATTCCACTTGTACATGTTTATCTCGATGACAGTGCCACACCGTCTTGATTATTTTAACGTTGTGAAAAGTTGCAAGTCAGGTAGTGTGAGTTCTCTGAGTTTCTTGTTCTTTTTCAAAGTTGTTCTGAAAATTCTAGACCTTTTACATTCCCATATAAATTTTGAAATTGGCTGGTCAATTTCTACAAAAACGTCTGCTAAGATTCGACTGGACCAGCACTGAGTTTATAGATTGGGTTGGGTCTTCTGACACACCAGCAGTTTCTCTCATCAGTGTCGTGAGGTCTCTAGTGTAGTCTTGTACATCTTCTGTCAAATTTGTCCCTAATGTTTGGAACATTTGGATGCTACTTTATATGGTATTCTAAATGCAATTCTGGGTGTTTGTGCTAGCCTATACAGAATTTACTTCTGTATCCTATAAGCTTGCTAATCTACTAGTTCCAATGGCTTCTTTTTAGAGTCTTGTCAGATTTTATACATGAACACAGGTGCCTCTTACTTTTCTTGCTGAGTTGCTCATCTACAACCTTCTGTACAGTGGTGAAAGTAAGTGGCAGGACTGGAAGTGCCCTGACTTTCATGGGAAAAGTGCATTTTGTCACTCACCGTGTAGGTTTTTTTGTAGGTGAAGGCAGTTCCCTTCCGTTTCTAGTTTGCTAAACTTTTTGATCAGGAATGGATATTGGATTTTGTCAGATGCTTTTTCTGTGTCTATGGAGATTCGGTTTGTTAACATGATGAGTATCACTGACTGCGATTTTGGAATGTTAAACCAGCCTCTCATTCCTGGGATGAACCCTTCCTGGTCTCTCTCATATATATACCTATACATACATACATATAGGAGTTCTCTAGAAAAACGATCAATAGGATGGATGTATATATAGGTAAAAAGATTTATTGTAAGATATTGGCTTATGTGACTACAGAGGCTGAGAAGTGTGAGGTCTGCCACTGGCAAGCTGGACACAGAGGGCAGGAAGAGACTGACGGTTCCACTCAGGAGAGTCGGGCAGGAGGAATCCCTGTGAACCTGTCTCTCTGTTCAGGTCTCACGGGAGGGATGCCCCCTACCCCAACTAGGGCACCCACCCACATGCCAATCTCACCCAGAAACAAGATTTAACCAGGCGTCCCACAGAAGCCCAGGGCCCAGGCCAGCCGGCACATCCCACTGACCACCCACCCCGGCTTCTTTCCCATTTGCAGAGTCTATACTGAGGTCACGTCTCTCTCTCCTCCTGGATTCTGGGAGTTTGTGTCTTCACACTTTCCCCTCATCAGTCTTGTTTGAAGTTTAACAATTTCATTGATCTCTGAGAACCAGCTTTTGGGTTCATGGATCCCTCTATTGTTCTTCTGTTTTCTACATTACTGATTTCTCTGCCAATGTTTCATTATTTTCTTTCCTTTGCTTAGCTCATATTTCATTTGTTCTTATTTTTCTAGTTTCTAAGGAAGAGGCTGAGGTCACAGAGTTGAAACCTTTATCCTTCTTTAGTTCAGGCATTCAGGGTTATGAACTCCCCCTGAAGAGCCCTCTAGCAGTAGCTTACGGTTTCTGGTATGCTGCAGTGTCACGTTCATTTTGGTAGAAACACTCTAATTTCTCTATTGATTTCTTCTGTGATCTGTGGGTTACATATAAGTGTGTCTTTGGTTTCTCAATATTTGGGGATTTTCCAGAGATCTTCCTGCAATTGATTTCTAACTTGATTCTACGTGTTAGAGAATGTATTTTGTATGACTTTAATCCTTTTAAATTTGAGACTTGTTTTATGGCCCCAAATAAGGTCTACAGTGGTGAATGTTCTGTGTGCACTTCTACACCAAGTGCATGCATCCAGCTCTTTCGGCACGGTGTGCTCTACGAACACCCCTTAGATCACAGTGGCTGACAGGTCACTCTGCTGTGCCCATCTTCTGCCTTTTTTTTTTTTTTTTTTAAGATTTTTACTTATTTATTTGACAGAGAGAGACACAGCGAGAGAGGGAATACAAGCAGGGGGAATGGGAGAGGGAGAGGCAGGCCTCCTGCGGAACAGGGAGCCCGATGTGGGACTCGATCCCAGGACCCTGGGATCATGACCTGAGCTGAAGGCAGACGCTTAACGACTGAGCCACCCAGGCGCCCCATCTTCTGCCTTTCTTTTCCATCATTAACAAAGGGAAGAGTGTCGACATCGCTGACAGGCATGGGGAATTTGTCTCGTTCTCTCCGCAGCTTTATCAGTTTCCGTTTCATGTGTTTTGAGGCTGTTTCTAGGTGCGTATGTGTCTAGGACTGTTATGCATTCCTGATGATGATCTTCTCTGTTACTATGACACCACCTTTATCCTGATTACCTGTGCTCTGAAACCTACTCTGACACCAACACAGCTACTCCATCTTCCTTGTGATTGTATCTTTTCCCATCTTTTACTTCTGACACATTTGTGTCTTTATATTTAAAACGTGTTTCTTAGAGGCAGCATATAGTTGGGTCTTTCCTTTTTATCCAGTGTGACCATCTCTCTGTGTTTAGACCCACACGCGCAACGTGACCACTGATACACTTAGACTGAACGCACTCACCTTGCTACTTGTCTTACTCCAGTTACACAAGCAGAGCCAGAGACGCCAATACCCCGTCGACATAAATCACTGGACAAGGGGGCAGGAAGTCAGTCAGGTCAGGGCACAGCTGTCCGTGTGTCCCTCTTTTTCTGCTGACTTTTGAACAAATTATTTTTGCGATTCCCTTTTACCTCCTTTGTTGGTCTAGCTCTTTATATTGTTATTTTAGTAGTTGCTCTAGGGTTTAGAGTATATATCTTTAATTGATCATAGTTTCTTTCAAGTGAATTATAATAATCTGGTGTAAGAAATAAAACTCTCTTCTCCTATCCCTGGTGCTATTATGCATATTTTAGATCTTACATGTTACAAACTCTGTAATATATTGTTACTATTTCAGCTTTAAAAGTCAATTATCTTTTAAAATTATGAAATTTTATCATGGTTAAGAAGATTTCACTTCAGGGGCGCCTGGGTAGCTCAGTCATTAAGCGTCTGCTTTCGGCTGGGGTCGTGATCCCGGGGTCCTGGTATTGAGCCCCCCACTGGGCTCCCTGCTCCGCGGGAGGCCTGCTTCTCCCTCTCCCCTTCCCCCTGCTTGTGTTCCCTCTCTCGCTGTCTCTGTCAAATAAATAAAATCTTAAAAAAAAGAAGATTTCACTTCAGATCTACCCTCTTAGCATTCTACTCTTTTGATTCCAGGAGTCTGAATTTTTTAGAGATCTCATATGAAAGGGATCAAGCAGGATGTGTCCTTCCGTGACTGGCTTATTTCTCTGAGTACAGTGTCCTCCAGGTCCACCCACATTATCACATTTTACAGGATTTCCTTCTTTTTAAAAAGTCAATTATCTTTTAAAGAATTTTTTTTAAAGAAAAAGTTATTTAAATGTGTGTACCTATTTATAATTTCTGGCCCTTCTCATTCCCCACCTGGCATCATTTCTGTGTGCTGAAAGATTCCTGTGTCCCATGGTGCAGGTCAGCAGGTAATGGACCCCCAGCTCTCAGCCTGAACCTGTCTGAGTACATTTTTACTTCTCCTTCATTTCTACAGCGTTTGTCGGGCATAGTTCTGGGCTGACGGTTTCTCCTGCCGGCACCGTCAAGAGCCGCCCCGCTGTCTTCTGGCGCACACTGCTGTCAACACGAAGTCTGCTGCCGGCCTTGTTTCTTCTCCTCGGCAGCAATGAGACTTTCCTTGTTTCTAGGATTTGCTCTTTATAAAGGACTTTCGGAATTTGATTGTCATGTGCCTCACTGCATTCTTCTTCAGATTTCTTATATTTCGGGTCTGTTAGTAAGTCTCCTGAATATGTAGGGCTTATGGTTTTCATTAAATCAGGGTAGTTTCCACTCACTATTTTCTCTAGTATTTCTTACACTTCCCTCTCTGGGACTCCAATTGCATGGATGCGAGGCTGCTCGAAGGTGTCCCACAGCTCACTGATGCTTTTCTTTTTTTAATACACTTTATATTTTAAAGCTTTTTTTTTTCCCTTAAATCTTTTTATTGTTTCGTTTGTCGAGTTTCTATAGTCTTTCTGACTGTAGTGTCTAGTCTGCTGTTAGCTATTTTTCATCTTAGACATCGAATTTTTTGTCTCTAGAAGAGAAATTTGTCTTTTATTGGTTGTATCTCCACTGAACATGCTTGTGTGTTCCTCTCCTTTAAGAGCATATGGAGTATAGTTATAGTAACTGTTTTAATGTGCTTGTCTGCTAATTGCTACATTTTTTTTTTTGAGTTGATTTCAACTGATTGAAATTTTTTTTTTTTTAAAGATTTTATTTATTTATATGACAGAGAGAGGCATAATGAGAGCAGGAACACAAGCAGGGAGAGTGGGAGAGGGAGAAGCAGGCCTCCCGCCGAGCAGGGAGCCCGATGTGGGGCTCAATCCCAGGACCCTGAGATCATGACCTGAGCCAAAGGCAGACGCTTAACGACTGAGCCACCCAGGCGCCCCTGATTGAAATTTCTTATAATGAGTTGTGTTTTTCAGTTTATTTCTGGATTAGATATCAGACATTGTGAATTTAACACCTTGATGGGTGTATATTTTTGTACTCCTGCAACTATCCGTGAATTTTGTTGTGGGATGTGGCTGCATTACTTGGAGAGCCTGTCAGACGGATGGGGCGGCAGGCAGTGTGGGACCAGACTCTCCCCACTTCTCACGCAACATCCTCTGAGGACTCTGCTTGTTACCCTGTGAATTCTCTGGCTATAGGAACAAACCACGCCCAGCACTGTGGGGACTCAGGATTCCTCTCTGCTCTCAGGGCTGCTTTCCCGGGCTCAGGTCTTTTCCTCACCGGCATGCATTCCTGAGTCCTGGGCTGAAAACTCAAGGGGTCCTGTGCGGACCCCAAGATCTCTCTCTTTCCTGTGCTCTCCTCCAGCCGTCTGCCCCGTGCACTCCATCCGCCTCGTCCTTGCACCGCCAGGTGCCTCTCCTCAATTCTGCAGACCACAGGCCTCCCCCTTTCTGCTCCCTGGCCTGGGAACTCTGAAGACGGTGAGCTGGGGCAATCACAGGGGTCACCTAATGTGCTTCCTCTCTCAGGAATCACTGCCCTATGATATCTGATGTGCAAATGTCTGAAACTGTTGTGCCATGTGTTTTGTCTGATTTTTAATTATTTAAGGTAGGAAGGTAAATTCAGTCTCTGTGATTCCGTCTTGGTTGATGTGTGGAATGCCCCTGGGTTTATGTGCAACCTAGCCAATCCATAAGAAGGTAATGTTCTGCATTTAAAAATATTAAGATTCAGCTAATCAGGAATGTAATCCACACAAACAGCAACACTTCCCCCACCTCACATCTCCCATCAGGATCCCAAACCCTCCTTGAGAATCAGGCCATGGAGTGGACCAGGGAGTGAGGTGATGGAGAGAGTTTGCAGAAGACACTGTGTCTGTTCAATGAGGACCTCTTTCTACTTTTAGATCAGGTAAGAAATAAAGATGATTTTAACGCAAACATTTTTCTCTTTCCTTCATAGAATTTTTTTCTGAATACGTAGGCCTTCCAAAACTCTCATTATTGTACTTTTTGAGAGAAGCTATAAAATGGTAAAAGAGTTCCTAAATATTAGATATAATTAGAAATTTGTATTATTATAAATTTAAAACATGCTCAAAAAAGCAAATTCCAACAGCACAGAACTAAGGTTAAAACCTCCCACAGACATGGAGAATTCTGCTCATCACTGGAAACACAATGATAAATAAAGCCACTTCTGTTTTACTCACAAAAATACATGGAACAGCCTAAGACAATAGCTGGCACCTAACAGGCGCTACGTTACTATTCATAGAACAACTATCTTTGTAAGGGTCATAAAGATTACAAACGTTAACAACTTGGTGCACGTGTATTTGTCCCAGACATTTTCTATGCAATATATAATAATAGACATGTGCCTGAATGTACACAGAAAGCATATAATTTTAAAGTAAAATGATAAGCTCATACAAACTGATTCATATCTTGGTTTTCCCCACTTACCTATGGCAGCCACCTTAGTCCTACGTATATGTTATACGCAAACTTTACACTAAATCCACAGTATGAATATCTTAGTTTTATTTGAGCTGTGATCTTGGGTTACTTGTGAACTACAGTCCTCTAACACCCCAGGCAATTGAGAGCTAATATATTATCTATTTAAATATTTCAAAGGAATCAAATCAATACCTTGATGGTGGACTGTCCATCGTTTTTGGTGTCTTGAGCATGGTTCCAATTCCCCGTCACTCGGGGAGACTGTAAAATGATTTCTTCTGGGAACAACACTTTTAAAACAAGTAAGAAGGTAGGTATTACTGAAAAACTTAAAAAGACAAAGAGAGGCCACCTAAGTAATTCACATCTATGCCTTCCTTTCCTTTTTGGCTTCTGTACATGGTTTCTAGGTTACAGCGGAACACCAGTACTGTGCACAGTTCGTAATGAAGCCATCGGCCCATCTGGAGCTACAAAAGTGAATTATATTACGAGGGGAAAAGCACACTGCAATGACTTCATTTTCAATAATTTAAGCAAGCTATTTTTATAGAGTTGAAATAGTAAGAAAATACTGAAACTTGCCAATGGGAAGAAAACTTTGGACTGCATAGTTTTACTTGTAATATATGATTGAAAAGACTGTGCTTTACACCATATTTTACATGAAGCTTATAAAAATACTCTGGGAAGAAATAACACTATTATTCCACAAAAAGAATACCTTTAACGCCTAAGTGGATGACGTGTTCAAGTGCAAAGTGACACCGTCTGCTTGTGGTCCTGCCAGAGAGAGAACAACGTGAAGTAATTCACTCCCAGTGTAGAAACATTAAGTCTAGCCCTGGTCACGGAAATCTAATTACATAACCCGAGCCAACCTGCTAATGTAACCTTTACACAATACTTACAAAGGGGCCACATTAGAGTCAGAGCTCACGACGTTCTCACAGGCCCTGCTGGGGAGCCTGGAGCTCCGAGGGCTCACTTTACAGTGTGTGTCTATACACAACATTAGGAGTTTTACAGAAAAACTTTAAACAGAAACATCCCATGTATCAGGATAGCAGGGACTCTTTCCTTTCTGGGAATATTTCTCTTTTAAATACATAAAGAGCACAACTAGGAAAAAAAAAATAAACATAGCCTATGAGGTATTAGGGAAATATTAACATTACTACATCAACAGCAAAGTAATTTTGACTGTAAAGATTTAAACTTTTGAAATTCACAACTGTTAGAAGATAAACTGAGGCCTACTAATAATTTTAAGAGTTTGGGCAAAAATTGATTCCAACCAGGCTGCACCCAGCCAGCCCATGGAAAGAAGCCCCGAGGAGCTGTCCAACATGAAGGACTTTTACAGCCAGAAGGCAGCGGGCACAGGGAAATTATCCCAGGCAAAACAGGGGCTTGGTTATCGCAAGCTCCCTTCCTTCAAGGGTGGGCAGGGGTCTGCCAGGCCGAGTACCTCACCAGTCCTGACCAGGCAGTTGCCAGGTGACCGGCCTACGATTCCGTTTCCAAGGGAGCCAAAACTGCAATTCCCTCTGGGTTTGGTGACATGGGGCTTAGCACAAGCTACTCTGCTGTGGGCCTGCTGTTTTGCTTCTTAACACAACAAAAAGAACAAAAACCATAAAATAAAACCTCATCTTCAATGAAGCAAGATGACAAAGCTCCAAAGCACAAGTGCAGATGGGTATCTGTTCAATGAAGAGCATCGGGCCTCAAACAAGCAGAGGTACACAAGCACTGCACACCGACTCAGAATGCGGGCCACATACAGGTGTCTGGACAGTTCAGACTCGGGAGCCCAAAGACCAAACGATGGTTTCTCACCTGAATCGCGACGTGCAGAGCACACGCTGAGAGGTCACCCCCAGGACCCATCTGCACAGTATGGAATTGGGGGGGGGGGCGTGTGAAGCTGGAAAAACTGAGTGCACAAGCCCAACCTTCAGAGACCCTCCCTTTAGGGTCCCAGGCATGAAGGCTCCTGGCAGCCCCACTCTGTTCCTTCAAAATAACCTTTGGCAAATAGTTGCCTGGGAAAAAATAAATCCATCCAAGATGAGTAACAACCAGAACAGGACTTAAAGCAGATCACTTAAAGAGGAAGAAGCTGAGGAACGACTAAACACCTCGCTCCCCTTCCACTGGGAAGCTTTCCAACATCTGTGCCTGGCTGATCCGGGGCCATCTCACCTCTTCCAGAAAGGAAGGAAGAAAGATTTCAAAATCTTTTAAAAGGCACAGGGACGCCTGGGTGGCATAGTTGGTTAAGCATTCAACTCTTAATTCTGGCTCAGGTCATGATCTCAGGGTCGTGAGATCCAGCCCCGCGTCAGGCTCCACACTGGGCGTGGAGTCTGCTTGAGAATCTCCTTCTCCCTCTGCCCCTCCCCACTGCTCTCTCCTCTAAAAGAAATAAATCTTAAAAAGAAATCTCTTAAAAGGCACAACAAAGACTGGCACCTGGGCCAAGCTAACAAGATAACTGTGTCAGCCTGAAGATCACTGCCTTACTTCCCAGTAGCATGAAAAACAGAAATAGAATAGTACTTAACAAATCCTAGAAGCACATTAAAGGAGGAATTCACCAAAATAAAAATAACATTATGTTTTTCATTCTAGACATACAAGAAAGGTTTGATCTGAAGTTATCCAACTGAAACACTTCATCTTACAAACAGGCTGAAGATGATAATAATCTCAAGAAATGCCAAAAAGGCAATGAGTCTAATAGCTTAAAACAAAAGTTGATGAATAATTTTCTAATTTGATTAACCTAAAGAACAGCAAGATACTAAATGGTAAAATCCCAGAGGTATTTGCACTAACATACGAAACAAATCACAGAGATGGAAAACCATGAGGGAAAAAATAAAACACATGGAGGGGAGCAAACACTAGGCAAGAATTCCAAAGGAGGACAAAGACTTGAAGGAAAAGAATGAAGAAAACTCTCCTAAGTACAAACTATTGTTGAAAAGGAGATTCCAAGCAGCAAAGATGCCAATTCTCCCTCCACTTTCCTACCACCGTAGAGAGAAGAATATTTACTGCTTCACTATTTCTAACAGCAAACACCTGAGAACCCGACAGCACGCACCCAGCACCAAACACCAAAATCACAAAGGAAGGAAGGTCTCAAATCAATGACCTCGACTTCCACCACTAGAAACTAGATAAAGAGGAGCAAATGGAACCCAAAGTAAGCATAAGAGAGGAAATCACAGACACCAGAGCAGAAATAAGTGAAATAAAAAAGAGAGACACTACAAAAGATGAATGAAGTCAAAAGTTGATTCCCTCATAAGGCTGAGATGATAAACCTCTCGCCAGACTGATGAGAGGAAGAAAAGGTACACATTCCCACTGTCGGGAGTCGAGAGGGTGACATCGGGACACAGATCCAGCGAACGCTACTACTAAGGAAATAATAATATAATTCCATGCAAACAGTTAGATAACTTGGATGAAATGCACAAATTCCTTAAAAGATACACACTACTGAAGCTCACTGCACACAAAATGGATAACCTAAATGCTTACTGATTTACTAAAGAAATCAAATTTGCAGTAAATTATCCCAGAAAATAGAGGAGGAGGTGATGCTTTTTAACTCATTGTGAGGTCAGCATCACCCCGATACCAAAAGCAGACAAAAGATAATTTCAAGAAACTACAGATCAATACACACCTCATGAACACAGATGCAAAAATTAGTAAAATTGTAGCAAATCAGATCTAACAATATATAAAAAGAAATTACATTATGGCCAAGTGGGGCTTATTCCAAGGATGCAAAGTTGATTTTGATGTGGGGAACAAAGGCAGAAGGAAATGTAGATAAAATGAAATGTCCTTAGAACCTGCAGCCCATTGACAAATACTTGAGGCGGGCAGAGTGTAATGTGCCTCCAGGAACTCCCAACTGTCTTCATGTTGATGCCTTGAGAGGGAAAAACAACCTGAGCTTGACAACAGCCTGGCCTCCAGGATCCTGGGAGTCTTCTTTAGCAGATGAAAGTCCTTTTGGGAACTTCCTATGTCTTTACCTCCCCCAACTCCATAGTATATGATCAGTTGCTCTCATAATCCCAGGGCAGCAGCCCTTTCTGCCCGGGGGTCCTGTTCTCGTGCTTTTAATAAAAACCCCCTTTTTGCACTGAAGACGTCTCAAGAATTCTTTCTTGGTCGGCATTGGCTTTGAACCCCACCACTTCAAACCACATCAATTTTACATTAGAAAACCAATCAGTATAACTATCTTAATAGACTAAAAAAGGAAAACCACGTGGTCACCTTGATACAGAAAAAGCCATCTGAACAAATCCCACACCCAGCCATGACTGAACACTGGAGCACACGTGGAGTCCAGCTCCTCAACCAGGAGGGGGCCGAATACAAACCACCTACGTACAGCTCACAATGTGCTTAACGGTTCAAGACTGAATGAACGCTAACCCTCAGGTTGGAAACAAGGCCATTTCTGTGAAATGCTACTCTGGCTAGAGCAGTGAGGCAAGGAAAAACAAGCAAAATGCATCCAGATAAGAAAGGAAGCAGTACAGCTCTTTATTTGAACATAAAGATCGTATAGGCAGGGCGCCTGGGTGGCTCAGTCGGTTAAGCGACTGCCTTCAGCTCAGGTCATGATCCTGGAGTCCCGGGATCGAGTCCCACGTCGGGCTCCCTGCTCAGCGGGGAGTCTGCTTCTCCCTCTGATCTTCCTCCTCCTATGTGCTCTCTCTCTCTCTCTTTCTCGCTCTCTCAAATAAATAAATAAAATCTTTAAAAAAAAAAAAAAAGATCGTACAAGCAGAAAATCCTGCGTAACCTGTAAAAAGCTACTAGAACTGTGAAGTGTGTTTGACGAGCTCTCAGGATACTAGATTAATATATAAAAATAAATGGCATTCATAAACATTAGCTAAAAGCAACTAGAAATTTAAGTTAAGATTACTGTCTACAACAGCATTACATTTTTTTGAGTCACACCAATCTGGCAGGAGATACGTAGAGCACTCTACAGACACTGCTAAAAGAAATGAAAAACAGACCTAACTAGATGGAGAGAGGTACCATTTTCAAGGGTTGGGAGACTCAATATTAAGGTCTCAATTCTTGTTAAATGGATCTAAAAATTCAGTGTAGTCCCCATCAAAATCTCTATGGGTTTTTTGTAGAAACCAACAAGCTGAAAGCTAAAATCCATATAGGAACACCAGAGACCCAGAAGAGCCACACCAACTTTGCGAACAATGGACAAAGTGGAGGCCTTACACTACCTGATTCCAAGACTCACCATCAACAAAGAACACGCATGCATGGGAAAGCACCTGAGGTGTTCAGCATGACTACCCGTTAGGGGATGCAGACCAAAACCTCGGTGAGACACCACCTCACGGCTATTCCAAAGATTAGAATTAGAAAGACTGACCAGAGCAGGGCTGTGAGCCTGTGGGGCAACAGGACCCTCACCCAAGCTGCTGGAAATGCGGAGGACAACTGCTTTGGGAAAGAGCTTGGCACTTTCTTAAAGTTATGCGCACCCTCACCATAGGACCGAGCCATCACACTGTTCGGCGTTTACCCAAGAGAAAGGAACACGTGTCCATACAAAGACTTGTACACAGATTTCACAGTTCTCTCTGTAATGGCCAAAATATGGAAAAAAAACCCAGTGTCTATCCAAGGTGACTGGATAGATGGACTGTAGTAGATACTGATAACGAAATACTACTCAGCCATAAAAGGGAAGAAAATGGGAATCACTGTTATACAACTGAAATTAACATAATATTGTGTGTCAACTATAATTCAATAAAAAAGGCAATGAAATCATGCAACAGTGAGGTTGAATCTCAAAATAATTATGCTAAGTCAGAGAGAGATGCCAGGCAAAAACCAGTAAGTCTTGTATATTTCCACTTATGTAAGATTTTACAAAATGCAAACTAACCTATAGCGACAGAAAGCACTGCTGGGGCCTGGGGGTGGGGGTGAGGGTGGGGAAGGAAGGAAGCATCTCTGGTGGCAGATACTCTCCTTCTCTTGACTGTGGAGTTGGTTTCAAAGTCCTCAGACTGTGTACTTTAATAAGGCATAGTTAGCCTACATTCTGTGTCACTAGACCCGTTTGTTAAAAAAAGGGGAAACACCTACAGGGAGCCAGCAGGTAACACGAGGAAGTGCAGCCTCTCTGCCCTCAGCGCCATCTGGCCTGCCGCACTGCGGGCCTGCCCCATCTTCCAATGGTTCAAAACAAGTGGGGAATACAGATTTTTTTTTTTTTTTTTAAATGGGAAATCTCCTGGTTTTTCGTAACTTAATGTAAACAACCTAAAAACTTAACGTGGGGCAAGCAAAGCCTCTGAGTGTCAAATGTGGCAGCCCGCCACTCCCACACCTCGGCCTCTCATCTCTCCGACACTCCACCTGGCCGCACACATGCTTGCTCAAGACCTGGGCCTCGTGTCTGAGATCACTGAGCCCAACGTCCTGTCCTCTCTCCACCTCATCACCCTGTCTTTCCAACAGCCCCTCACTGCTGGTACCCTCTGGCTTTTCCTGGGCACTTTCTCTCTGGCTCAACCCCATGGCCTGTCACGCCTATCATCTGTGTCCTGCTTCCTTCGGTAGGTCCACTCCTGCACCACCTTCATCCCATGCTTCCTCTCTCCTCCCCTCCTCCAAAGTCCTCCTCCTCTTTGACTGGGTTTGTCACATGTTCCAGAGTAACACACGGTCAGGAATGTCCAGATACAAATCAGCTCTCACCTCTTTCGTCCGACCACCTTGAGGAGGATATTTACCCTCTGCCGATGACCCCGGCCCCACCTGGCCAGACCCACCTCCTCCGGCACACACTTTCTTGACCCAGTCACCCGCTATCGCAGGGGCTCCGCTGAGCTAGTTTCTCTCATTTCAAACAGCAAAAACGGCCCCTTCCTGGACCTCACCTCGCTCTCCATCCCGCCTGCTCAGCTTCCATGGCCAAACAACGGCCTCTCCCCACTGACCCACAACCCATTCACACTCAACACACTTTGATCTGGTGGCAGCCCCAACACCCAAACATTTCTCAAACAAAATTAAACATCTATGATCAATCTTAAAGTTAGCACCTTCTGATTCCTAAGACACTCTACAAAGTGAGCGAAACAAGCAACAGACCTGGAGCAGTTACAGAAGTTATCTGTAGCCTGCCTATCCAAGAACAGTCCAGCACAAAGAACACAGAGAAGACTCCTACAGATAACAAAACCCAAATTATTCAGGAAAAGACATGAGCCAGCATTTCATAGATGAAGACATTTTATGGCCAATAAACATGGAAATTCTCAACCTTATATGCAGTCAGAGAAATGCACGTCCAGACCCTAAGGAGGTAGATCACGTATCTACCAAGTCGGCACGAATTTAGAAGTTTAACAAAACCAGGTTCTGGGATGGTGTGGATTAACAGGTTGTTACAGACGCTGGTATTGGGGGTCTCTGATGCCACCATGGCTGAAGCCACAGACCCACTCTTGAGTGTGCAGCCAAGAGAACATGAGCATTTGTGCACAAGGAAGGAGAAGGTGCTCACAGCAGTGCCTTCAGGGTAAAGATGGGGTGAATGTCCATCCGCAGAACAGGGAGTGTGGCGGACTCACGCTGGGGCGTGGGCAGTGGTGAAGACACTGAACAGTGTCACACAACATGGAGAATCTTAGGAACAGATCAGTGAAAACCTCCTGGAAACCAGAGACTGACAGCTCAAAATAAAACCAAAAAATACATTTTTCTGTGTGTGTACAAAGACACACAACTGTTTTTTTTTTTTTTTTTTTTTAAAGCAAGGGAGAGACAAATGCAAAATCCCAGTAAACAGTTGGGGGCATAGTGGATGACAGGGAGGGAATGGTAGGTTGGCAGGGTCACCGCCCCATGCTCATAACGTCATAAATGACCACATCTCTGTGTACTTAAGGCCCATTAAAGAATGAACAGCAAATGTTCGTAACTTTGTTATCTTAAAACCTGTCTGGGAGTGAAGCAGGAACAGGGACACTCCCACACTGCATTTCTTACACCAGCGCTGAGATGCGCAGGGACGGAGAGAGGGGAAGCCTGCTACCCACCAGGAATGAAGACACATTGTAGGAACAACCACCGAGAGCATTACCTGTTATATGTGAATTCCACATCCATAGGTTCAAAGTTATATGCCTGCTCAAATTCTGGGTTAAGTTTAAGAGTTACATCTTCTTCATGAATCTGAAAAGGAAACGTAACGATTTAATTCCCATACTTCACGTTTGATTTGTTGAGACAATCTTCATCTAGCAACACGTCATGAAACACTTTACAGACTGGAGCTAAAATTTGCTATTTTAAACCCTTGCCAAACTCATCAGGAGGATTAAATCACGGTGTTGTCACATCACCCACCCGGGAGGATCTGGCCCCTGCAGGCGCCCACACCAGCTCACCCCGAGCTGCTCCCTGGCCACGCTCCAGAGATCTGGGCTCGAGGAAACAGGCCACGGCCCCGGAAGGAGACCAGCCCACAAACGACGACAGAGCGAGGGGTGCCTGCCGCCACAGCGCCTCCACGAAGAGGTCATTCCAAGGACTCCCCTTCCAGCAGAGCGGGGACCCTCCAGCCGCAGCTAGGGCGGTGCCAGGTGGCATGGGCTTCCCAAGGGCCAGGCGACCAGAGCCGGCTGGTGGGAACACGGACACGGGGGCTGCCCTGGGAGCAGGGCCCTCCCTGCAGCAGAAGCCGCCACAATCCCCTCAAAAGGAGAGCAAGCCCAGCCCAGGTCCCAGGTGTCCCAAGTGTCCCGGGGGCCAAGACGGGCAAAAATGAACCTGCGGTTAAAGACCACCGGTTAAAGCACACAAAGAAGCAAATCACCAAGCGTGAGGGTCAGCACAGCCATCAACAGAGTTGGGCCCCAAGGACATCACATACTGCCACTGTCATTTCCAGAAACTTGAAAAACTATGTGTGAAATTTTTAAAAAACCCAGAAAGAAAAACATAAGCAGGACAATAGAAAAAAACAACAGGGCAGCTTTAATGAATCAGGCAGAGCACACGGAGACGAAAACCATGCTGAGATAACGGAGCAGGATGACAGGAAGTGACGACATCTGTTCCCAGACACGTGCTCCTGGCGACAAGAGGCCCCTCTGCGGAGGTGGGGAGCCTTCTGTCCCACGGCCCCCAGACGAGCATGAGTGCAGCAGCAGCCCCGCTGGGACGCCCCCTGCACCGCGTGCCAGGTTGACGGCACTGGGCCGCCTGCCCACCTGTCGTGGAAACACCAATTTGACATCAACGGAGTAAGTGTCACCTGGATGTGTGTCTTCTGCCCACCGCACCATCTGTGAGGCTCTCCTGAGGGCCTTCTGTACCATCACGGTCTCCCACACCTCGGCCCTGGCCAACAACTAAACTACAGAGACTCGAGAAAAGCAATGGGCGGAGACCTGTAGAAGTTACTAAGTCGACCATGAATTTCATCACTCAGAAGCGGCTGACCTCATGGAATATCCCACCAAAGATCAGGAGGGTGCCCAACACCCCCCAGGCTGGGGTGCTCGTAGCTTCGGTCTGGATTTGTCAGCCTATGGTGTTCGCTTCGGCAGCACATACCCTAAAATTGGATTTGTCGGCGTATGACGCCGGTCACCCCTCAACCAGTGTTCAGGAACCAAGGAGACCCCACACCTGGCATCTTTGGCACCGCTGCTTCTGGGGTGTTCGTCCCCAGGGCATCTTCCCCGAGGGCACAACTGGATCTACCCTTTGGAAGGTAAGAGAGTCACCCGGCATCTTCGTCAATAGCTCAAGTGTGTCAAGGCTGGCAGAGCTGGTGGGCCCTCCAGCTCAGGCTAAGCGGCTGCCACGTGCCTGGGCAGAGTGTGGGGGGACAGCTGCTGGGGTCCCAAGGGTCAGCCCCTCCCCAGTCATCCTAGCACTGGTTTCACGGCCAGCTGCACTGGCAAGGGCTGGCGCCCAGTATTTCGGGGCAGAACGCAGCAAACACGGCCACAGAGGCCAGATGCCGCCCTTCCTTCGAACCCTTCCCAGACTCTTCGAGTCCCTACAACCGCCCCCCAACCCAGGGCAGGGCTTCGGCATTTCCTCAGGTAGCTTTCGGCATCAGGCCCTTCACCCAGACGTGGCAGGCGGTGCTCTGCACAGGATGGGAGCAGGAGAGACCGGCCGGAGGATCAGAAGCATGAGGTGCACCGGGAGGGAGGGAGGGAGGGAGGGAGAGAAGTCAGCAAAACTTCTCCACAAAAACATTTAGAACTGCAAACTTTTAAGTGTATTTTTCCTTCAGAGGCTCTCTCTTCTGCAGTATGTTCAGAATGCCCAAATTGGACTAAATGCAAACACCACGACTTACACGTGATGAAAGGTAAATATGGCTCTCGTGATTGAAAATTATAGGGATTTTTTTTGTTAAGTTCTCTTTATACATCAAATTTATTTAAATATTCACTTTATCCTGAATTTTCTGAAATCCTGTCAAAGGCTGAAGGAGCAACCCCGCCCCAGCCCTGGCAGGAAGCTGGCCGGCTGGAAGGGCTGGTCCCGCACTAGCGGATCCGGAGCACCTCTCACCTCAATCACATAGCCGATGTACTCGATGACATGTCCATTGTACTCCTGAGTTTTTAAAATCAGCTTATCACCTAGTTAAAAAATACAGAACCACATGTAAAACTACAAAATCCCCCAATTCTGCCATTGTAACTCTAAAATCAAACACTTTGAAAAAGTGAAATAAACATCCCTGGAATGAGGGCTTAAAACCAGCACCAGTATGCCCAGAGTGAGGTGCTGGATGCCCTCAACGTGCTGACCAAGTTTTACAGAAAATTCTAACCCAAAGCAAAGGAAATGAGATGACGTGACTGCAGTGTTGCCAACAGAAACATTCTTCCCCGGACGGGGGTTCAGCGTCTGCTGGTCCCTCTAGTAAAATGTGACACGTAACGAACCCACCTGCGTACAGAGAAGGCCTACTTTCAGCCAATCCTGGGACCTCCAGAACCAGCAGGTCACCATTTCTTTTCAAGGTGACCCCACTCATGTTATACTCTTTCAGTTCTATTTCTGCATGAATCTCCTCAAGCCAGAGCAAAGTCGAGAACTTTTCCTTGTAGTTCGACATGTTCAAAAGCTGAAAAAAAAAAACCCAGCGAGTGAGTGAGAGCAGAGTCACCCGTCCAACACCCCCGTGGTCCAGGAAAGCAGCTGCAGCTTAGCTGGAGGGGCTAAGTCCGGGCTGCTGAAACTCAGCCAACAGGGAGAGACTGGCTTTTGAATACTGACCCGCAAGCAGCGCAGGACAGCGGCCCTGAGGTTGGGGAGGCTACGTCAGTGAGCCCGCAACTGCCCCGGCTACCACCTAGGCAGAGAGCCCAGCAGCCGTGTGGTCTCTTGAGGAGATGGAGCCGGGGTCCAAGGAGGCCAAGGGGGCAGAGTGCCAGGAAGCGAGAGCAGCACAGAGAGAGAGGTCTGCAGAGCTTCAGAGGGTCCCCCCCGAACTGTCAGCTGAGCACTGGTCAGTGCACAAGTGTAAGAAGCCATGTTTCTTGCTGGGACGCCCACCTGATGGTATAAGAGCAGGTTCCTCAGCCCTGGCACAACCAATACTTGGGCTGCACTCTTTTCTGGGGTGGGGGCCGTCCTGTGCACTGTAGAGTATTTACTGGCATTCCTGGCCCCTACCCATTTGTTGATACTACCACCCCCAGCCATGACAACCAAAAATGTCTCCTGGGAGGGCAACTGTCACCTGTTGGGAAGCACTGGATTAGAGGGAATAATTCCTAGAGCTCCCACACGGCCGAGAACAGTGTGAGTCCCACCAGCCCAAACGGAGAGACTTGTAATAGACGAGACACTGGACAGAGTATTCAGAAGGGTATTAGCCCTAAATCAAACGCCATTCTGGTCCCACCTAACAAAGCCTTAAAGCCAGGCTTGAAAGTATCCGACTGTTTCAAAGTAACTTAACTGCATCCCAGAACAAACCTCAGAATATTTTCAGGAACAGAAAAATACCCCAACAGCCAACAAGATAAAATCCAGAATGTATGGCACCCAGACAAAGATTATGAGGCTTAGGAACAGAAACAACAACTCATAACGGGGAGAAAACCCCTCACGGAACCAGAACTGACTCGTGGCAGAATGTGCAGACGAGCACCTTGTAACAGCTGTTATTCAAAGAGCAGGAAAACACTGAGCATGGGAAGCAGAGACCACGCTGAACTGGTGGATGACAGCTACCACGTGTGCCATTAAAACACACGGGACGGGGCCGCACACTGCTGAGGAAGACACTAGTGAACTTGAGGACTGGCCACAGGAGGCTTCCAAAACCCAAACAAGTGAGCAGAGTGGCGGCGAGCTGTGCGGCGGCTCCAAGCAGCCGATGCACGAGCAACGGGAATCTGAGGAAGGGGCTCGGCAGAGAGCGCCTCTGAAGACAGAATGGCCAGAAACCACCCAAATTTGAGGAAAACTGTAAGCCCACATATCCATGAAGCTCAGAGAACCCCAAGCCAAGAAATTAGAAGAAAACTATACTAAGGCAAATTGCAAATTACATTTTTTAAGAAATAGTAATAAAGAAAAAAACTTAAGAAACTGCTAAGAAAAAATACACGTTATATGCAGAAGAACAAAAGCTAAAGGAAAGC